CCTGTTTGCAAACCTGGTGGGGTCCCTTAGAGTTTAGGAGATGCATGACTGTCGGGAAAGTGGCGGGGGCGGGGGGAGGCCCCGGAGTGCTCCTGGGAGGGAGAGCACCCACACCGGTGCCTTCATTTTTGAGGAGTTTTTAAAGGTTGGATGTTTAGGGGAGATCTTAGGGGCAGATCTCAATAGAATATGCATCAGCTTTATGTTGATCTACCAAATTGAGATTTATTCTCTTAACTTCATCTGCCCTTGGGTGTGGCTGGCAAATGGCACTAATTGAATTTGTCTCCTTAAGTAGGGTGATTTAAGCTATTTACCCTCTGGTTGGGGAGAAGTCAAAATGTCAATTTCTTCATCTATAAAAAGGGAGTAATAATACACCTCCTTGGATTGTTGAACAAAGTAAAAGAGGATAGTGTATGTAAAGTGCTATCTGGCACTAGTAAAGACAAAAGGATTGTCATTATTACTGAAAATGGCTCTGGAGAACTCTATGTAGGGGGTAGGGAAGCGAGGTGGGGGATAAGATTCCATTGCATCAGACCCCATCAGCATAATGCCTTATGCCCATTCCCAAAGGATGGACTTCAAGGGAGCCTGGCTAGCTTTCCAATTCCTCATCAGGAGTGGCTTGAAGGGAAGCAGGGGGAAATAACAATGACATGATAGGTGCAAAGCAGGAGCAAATAGGAAAAAAGGTCAGCTCCTAGTGAGGGTCCCCCAGTGAAAGAACACTGAGAGCTGGAGCTGTTTGAAGGGATGGCAAAACACCAGGAAGTAGAGTTGGGATATCAACCAGTGTCTTGAGCCAACCAGTGGATGCTGGGCAGGTGGAGAGGGAAGGCATGAGACAAGCTCTGCCATTTCCCTCCTGCTTCTTGTCACTGGGCAGGCACTGGAGACCCTGCTGCTGAGCGGAGTGCTAACCCTGGTGCTAGAGGAGGATGGGACTGCCGTGGAGAGCGAAGACTTCTTCCAGCTGTTGGAGGATGACACATGCCTGATGGTGCTGGAGTCTGGGCAGAGCTGGAGTTCCAGCAGGGTGAGGCCTCTACTGGGCTGCTATAGGCCACCAATCCTCTCTCTCTCCCAGGCCTCTCCTGCCTAACCCTCATCTTGAGGGCAGGAGTGATGAGAGAGGTAAGGAGTTTTTAAAGACACCTGATGGTGGACTAACAGTCCAGGCAAGGGTGGGTCTGTCCCACTACTGATGGGGCTTACTGGTGGGTGTGAGGGACCACTGTGCTCACGGGGGTGTTCCACAGAGTGGGATGCTGTCCTATGGCCTGGGCCGGGAGAAGCCCAAGCACAGCAAGGACATCGCCCGCATCACCTTTGACGTGTACAAGCAAAACCCTCGAGACCTCTTTGGGAGCCTGAACATCAAAGCCACATTCTATGGGCTCTACTCCATGAGTTGTGACTTTCAAGGACTTGGCCCAAAGAAAGTACTCAGGTCAGAGACCAAAATGTTTTACTTCCCCATCCCCACAGTTTCCGTCCCATAATTCCTTCTCCTGCACTCGCCTAACCCATTAGCTCTCAATTATGGAGAGCCCCCAACCCTCCCCCTCCCCACCAGCTCTATGGCCTCCTCCTGGCCATCTGACTGCCTCTTGTCTCTGCCCTCCAGGGAGTTCCTCCGATGGACCTCCACACTGCTGCAAGGCCTGGGCCATATGCTGCTGGGAATTTCCTCTACCCTTCGCCATGTAGTGGAAGGAGCTACACAGTGGCAGCAGCAGGGTCATCTTCATTACTGAGAAGGGGCTTGGAGCTTCTGCCCCTGGAGATGGCTGTAGGGACTGTGACAACATCCCGTTTAGGGACCCGCAGATAGTGCAGACTAGATAACTCACCTGGTTTTCCCACTGCCCTCTGACCCCATCAGCATAGTGCCTTACACCCCTAGCCTATACCCATTCCTGAAGAATGCTGTCCCTTCTTAGCCATCTTTTCGGCTTCCCACCTACTCTGAAAGCCACAACCTTGCCCCAGGCATCTTGATAGCACTCTAACTGCTGCTGCCTCTAGAGTTCCTACAACTCCTCCTCTCCCTGAGCTCCCCAGAGCACTGAAGACAGCCCGCTTGAACTTTACCTTGAGATCTCTATTTCTCCATACCTTTCCCCGCCAAGAATAACAAAGACATTTCCAATACAAATATAAAAATGTTTACCAATAAGACTTTTGACTTCAATGACTTTGATTTAAATTAGTAGGGGACAGGATAAATAGGCCCTTTCCTCCTCCCCCATCAACACCCAGTCCCAGATCTCAAGGTCTCAGTCTTCAAGAATTGAGTTCAAAACCCGCCTCCGCTTGGCCACTGCCCCCTGTTGCTGTTCCCAAGCTTCTCGACGCTTCAGGAAGGTAGTCAGGGCCACATTTCGAGCCACATGGTGGCCAAAAGGGTCTTTTATCAGCTCTTGGTTCCGCTCTCCTGCAAAGGGAACCATTCATGTTCAGTATCAGCATGCAGTCACCACCTATGCTTGAAGAGACTCTACTTGGGGTGAAGGTCTCTCCATTTTACCTGGATCCTGGGTCTGCCTTGAGATAGAGTTAACCCCTCATTCTCCAAAGAACAAACTGGGAGGAGGGGTAAGAACACAGAACTGCACAATCAACAGAGGGAAGGGGAGAGCAGACTGCTAAGCACCATGGCCAAGTCACCCTTTGCAACTGAAGTCTCTGCTGAATTTAAATCCAACCCCCAGCCACCCGGCTATTTGGAGTAAGGAAAGGGAAGTTTGTAGGTCCAAGAGACCTGCTGGTACTCACCCAGCTCAGCAGCAATTTCCTTCCGGGCCCCCAAGGCTGCTCCATTCCAGATGGCATCTAACACACGGCTGCCATGGCGACTGCAAGCCAGAGCCACATACTGTCCCTGCATTGAGACAGACAGGGTAGGTCCCTCTAGGGCAGTTCTTGAAAATATGCTGGGGAGGGCAGGAGGGAATGGAGTTTCCGCTTAAAGACTGAGTCAAAAGAGTCTAGGAAAGACAGTCCGGGGGAAGCTCATGTTCTCTAAATGGACAATGGCAGAGGAATCAAAGCAGAAGCCTGAGTCTAACCTTTAGGGTCTTAAGCACACGGCGGCGCTGCTTGCGTGTCACAGAAGGGCTGGTCAGGACGGCATCAAGCACATGGGAACCAGCAGGACTTTGGGCCAGAGTCAGAACTTGTGGTCCCGTCAAGGCACCCAGACTTCGAAGTATAAGGCCAGGAGTGGAGAAGTGCAGCAGATGCTGGAGCAGCAGAGATCCGAGGACTGTCACTTCTCCCAGGGCCCTGGCTGTGCCCATTTCAACCTGAGGACAGGGATAGGAAATCAGGAGGTAGCCACCAAAATGCCACCTCCACTTGGACGAAGCCAGAGATCTCACCACCTTCACCACCTTCACCTCTGTGGTGAGAGGCTCCCTCAGCCCCGGGAGACCTGGTCCCCAATCAGTCACTGGCTTGGCCTTTCCCCTACCTCACCTGGTGGTCCGCAGGCACTGCCCCCTCCTCCTCCACCAGTCCATAGTACACCTCATAAGCCATCAAAGTGGCAAAGAGAGGTACACAGGCCACTTGCCGGGAAGAGGGCTCTGCACAGTGGAATGCCTAGATGAGAAGACAAAACATAATGAATCTGTGAACCGATTTTAACCCTGAATTTCTAGACTAGGGAAAGCATTCAGGAGTGGTGAGGATGCCTTAACTTCACAAGAATATAAGCTGCATGAGGACAAGATCTCGTTTGCCCTGCTGTATCCCCAGCCTCTATACATATAACAGGGGTCAATAAATATTTATTCCTTCAATAAACTTCTCTCTTTGTTCTGGGAGACAATTTTTCATTCTAGGGCTATGAGATGGCTTTGGCCTCATTTCCCCTTGTTATCTATGAACTCCCTGAGCATTAAATCTCTTGGGGCCAGAGATACAATGACTAAAGATACAATGACTAAAGAATTTGAACCAAGGGCATAAATGGGTTGCAAGTAACACCCACTCACCTCTAACAACAGCTGCAGAACCTGGGCTTGGTGGGTTCCAACTCTGCGGCAGGCTCCCACCAGGGCAATGACTACCCCTGGGTGACCCTGTGCCAGCACAGCTTCCAGGGCAGGGCTCAGCTCCTCAAATATGGGGGACAGCTGAGGGGAGATATGGGGTAAAGAATCTTTGGCATTTGGGCTAAGTTATTCAGAGAAATCTTTCTGCCAAAAACAACTAAAGATGCTAGGTAAGACAAAAAGCATGGCCAATGTCAGGACTTTGGTTTGGCTGGATAAGAAGGTCCAGAACAAGGGGGTCGTCTTAGAGGACTTGCCTCACATGGAAAGGGGACTTTAAATTACCATCCTGCCAGGGTAACGGAGAATTCAAACCAAACCTTCCACTCTAACTCCCATGAGTTCCCAAGGAAACATGCCCGGGCACTAATCAGCAAAGGAAAAGAGAAGCTACGGCAACAGCTCCAGTGCTCATCTGGATTTGTAGTCAAGTGCCCAGTCTGGGTGGGCCATGGAACCTCAAGCTGCTAACCTGGATTAAGCCAGTCTCCTGTTGGTATTGGCGTTTGAGAGAAGCCAAAACAAATCCTTTCTGGGAAGAAGACACCTTCACTCTATGCTCTGGGAAACTCCCAGGAATAACTTTTTAAGGGGAAGAGCCAGCACACAGTCAGAGATAGGCACACCATACATAAGGCCCAAAGAACAAGAACTAGTAGAAGCAACAGCGTACAGAAACAGACCCAGCCAAGTTCCCGACTCACGAGCTCAGGGGTAGTGACAGCATCTAGTAAACGCTGCAAAGGAAAGTTGGCAATAGGATGTGCAGCCATGGTCTGCAGCTGCCCTTGGAAGTGATCCTCAAAAAGGCTCTGGAGCCTCGGGGGCTCCAACACCAGCAGCACCTGCTCCAGAAGTCTGGAGCTCGTCTGATCCCGCAGAAATAGTAGCAGGGGGCTGGAGACAAGAAGGTAGTTTTAACTCCACTCCATCCAAAATACCTACACACCTCATTTATTATACACACCCCATCAATCCTGACCAATCCTGAGGCCAGACCTTACCTGCCATCTGCTGAGGAATTGCGGTTACTCAGATAGTCAATCACAGCATTACAGAGGTGGGCACACAACTGGGGCACTTTGCGATGTAAGATCTGTAAGGCCACTTGAAAGCAGAAACTGGAGATCTTGTCAGTGATAAACACTGTTGTGAGAGAGCAGAAATAATAAAAGCAGCTTTCCCAAAATCTAGACGACCTGTACAACCTCAAACAACAAGGCACAAGGGACCATGGAAAAAGGGTCTAAAAGTCTTTGCAACACAAATCAGATCAGATGTGAAAAGAAGACTGATCTAAATAAGGGCCTTATTTGAAGATAATCATCTCCAGAAAAGTAGATCCTAGACCAGCCGTGGGCAAACTACGGCCCGCGGGCCGATCCGGCCCACTTGAAATGAATAAAACTAAAAAAAAAAAAAGACCGTACCCTTTTATGTAATGATGTTTACTTTGAATTTATATTAGTTCACACAAACACTCCATCCATGCTTTTGTTCCGGCCCTCCGGTCCAGTTTAAGAACCCTTTGTGGCCCTCGAGTCAAAAAGTTTGCCCACCCCTGTCCTAGACCCTCCTCCTACTTCCCTCCTTACCAGCAATGTCCTTCAGAAAGCAGGAGCTCAGGTCCTGAAGACAATTCAAGAAGGATTCAGGAACCTCGAAATCATTTGGTTTACATTCCCGAGCTGGAGTTCTTTGTGCTTCTGAAGGAAGATCCAGTGGCAAGACCACAAAAAAACCATGCCAGAGGGAGAAGAATTCCACAGGTCAGGAATTTTCAACCTTTTCCATTTCATCGCACCCATAAACAAATTACTAAATTCTGCAGCACACCAGAAAAAATGTATTTTGCCAACTGACAAAAATATAAGTAAAGTTTTGATTCATTCACACTGGACAGCTATTGTGTTAGGTGGTGCCTTTTTTTATTTGACAATCTAAGGGAAAAGAGGTCAGTGCCCTGACTAAATAACAGGTATCACATGTTTTAAATATTCTTGCAGTGTGTCACAGCACACCGGTTGAAAATCGCTGGCAGAGATGAACAAGGGTTTACCTTAGAAATGCAGAACACAATTGAATTTCTCTTCTCATCTAGATGATGGAATTGAGACCACATTTCTGTTTCAATTTGTCTGAGACACTTCAACCAGCTTTCCCATGGACCATGGGAGATAGTCCAAACTCCTCAGCCAGAAATTCAAAATGTTCCCAAAATCAGGCCTTATCTAAATTCTCTAACCTTATTTCCCAGTTTCTAAAAATGTAGGTCACTGCCTATGAATGAATCACGAAATCAATTTCATGGGTCTCAACCAGCACCTTTGTAATGGAATAGAACAGAATAAAAAAGAAAAGAAAATATTAGAGTGGTTTACATGTAGTAAGGGTATTATTTCCTGATCTTTTGCTTACATCCAGAATGTGTCTACATACACATGTACATGAGTCATGGTTAGCTTTCCCTAAACACACCCTGCCTCTGGGCCTCTGTAGCACACTAATCTTTGGCCAGCTAACCCTGTCCTAACTTCTGTTAGTTCTTCAAGGTCGTGAAGACTTACTCTTCTGCCACCATCTCCTCCTGAACTTCCTAAACTCTCCTTTCTTCGCGGCCCACTGCCCTCTCCTGTAATACTTACCAGGTGACCGGGAGCCCCGGTGTCTGGTTCTCTCGGACTCCAGAAGAGTCCCTCCTAACACCTGCAGCAGAGTTCTGACCACGAAGCTGCCATGTGTGTCTCCACAGTAGAAAAGGAAATCATCACACACCTCAGAGGCTAGTCCCAGCACCAGCTCCTCCAGGGTCTCCAAAGGAGGCACCTCCTCCTCCTCCTCTGCCTCCTCCTCCGCACAGCTCCCCAATAATCGGGGCAGCTGCTGCAAAGCGCTCTGCAATACATGGACCCCGCACCGGTGACAGGCCACAGAGCGCAAGCTGGGGCGCAGAGCAGCCAATACTCCACACAGAGGTTTCAGGGTGCTGTACCCCAACAGTTCCTGCAGCATCTCACTGCCAGTCCTGTTTGTGGCCAAGGCGAGGGCCTGGGCCTCCACTTCCTTCAAAACATTGTGCACCATCAGCTCTGGGAAGACAAAGAAATATTTCATTTATTTATTTTTATTTTTTGATTAAGTTATTACATGTGTCCTTATCCCCACATTAACCCCATCCCCCCCACTCATACCCTCACCCCCCCTGGTGTCTGTGTCCACTGGTTAGGCTTACATGCATGCATACAAGTCCTTTGGTTGATTTCTCCCTCTTACCCCCACCCTCCCCTACCTTCCCTCTGAGGTTTGACGGTCTGATCAATGCTTCCGTCTCTGGATCTATTTTGTTCATCAGTTTGTGTTGTTCATTATATTCCACAAATGAGTGAGATCATGTGATATTTATCTTTCTCTGACTGGCTTATTTCACGAAATATTTTAAAGAGACTGAGAGGAGGTTATGTTCCATCACTTAGCCCAGGGGCTGGGAGCGAGGAAGAGGACACGGGAGATGAAACAGTCCCCACCCTGGGAACCCACCACAAGGTCCTTGCCTGCACTGAATTTTATGCCCAGCAAACCCCTCTCCTGGTCCCACCCGAAAGAGCCCACCCACCTCGTTCTTCTCCAGCCTCCGGGGCCTCTTTCAGCGCCGACAGCGCCCGGCGGAAGTACCCCAGCGCTTCGGGGCTCAAGTGAGGGTGCGCGTCCAGAGTCTGCGGCGAGCGCCCGTCCGGGGGCGGGCAGGGCTGTCG